GGTTTGGGCCAGAGTAGCGAGAATTATAATCGCACACAAGAACTGCACTTTTTTTTCTGTGAAATTTTGCAATGTAAGTACAAACTTACCAGCTTTCACTTAGCATTCAATTTCTTGCTTAGCATCATAAACTCGTATAACATGCGATTCCCATCCTCTGTCTCCAGTTTTGACCCCCAAGGAACATCTCAGCTCCTTTCCAATCAGCATTACGGTCCCTTTTCCTTGTTGCGAACCTTTACTACCTAAATTAACACCCCATTCCTTTCACTCTCTTCCATTCATCTGTACCTTAGTTCGCCTTTTGAGTAAGCATACCACGATTACTCAAATTTACCTCTAACCTGGCCGAATCGAGTGTGTTTTAATAATTTCCCTCTTCCATCCTTAATATTTTTTCTCTTTCCCGAATGAGCCCCAAAAAGATGGCGCACTTACATCAAACAAATGGTGGCGGGTACGAATTGAAGGTATGCAGTCCCGGAAACAAAAGGCCTGTAGTAGTTGGAACCGAGATGTGGAAGCGCTTCAGCTCTAGCTGTGCCCGAAGACGTTTTGCAAATAGAATCCTAACAAAAAATCATTTAACAGTGAGGCTTCTGCGTACGTATTTTGAAGAGCTAATTTAATAAGCAAACGTTTCCGACAGAGCGGAGAAGAGGGGAAGGAGAGGAGAGGCACTCAACCGGAATTTGGCGCCTGCGCCGCCAACCCCCAAACTCCCATACAATAAGCAAACAAAGCAAAACAGAGTAAATCAGTGATGCGCGAAATTCTGGTGGGAAAGGATGTACCTCAAATTTATATAGATAAAATGAAGTAGAGTTGTTTTGCGCAGAATCGAATGATGCTTATGTAAATTGCATAACACCCAGGCTGGAACACGCTGGACGAGCCCGTGCAATCATGCGTTTTTGCACCGGACTTGAAGTAATCAAGTCATTAACCGTGTGAATGGTTGTTGCTTTAGAAGTAGCCTCATTATTCAGTGAGAAATTTTTTTCAGCCAAGACTTTCAAGTGTCCGTTCGTAAAAACCACGCATTCCTCAAGGATGAATTTGAAACACTTAAGTTGGACAGGGAACATTCCCCCAAAATTTCAGCTTTCCAGCTTTTCTGGTTACCGAGTTAGCAATTTTTTCGCCAAAACCTTCACATGCTCGTACTTGGGTAATCCACGTCCTCGAAAAGCTGAATTTTTGAAATTTACAAATTGCAGTTGGACGGGGAACATACCCTTAAAATTTCAGCCTTCCAGCTCTTCTGGTTACCGAGTCAGTAATTTCCCTACATAAACTTTCATACACCTTTACATGAGTACCACGCACGGATTATGGCTGAGCTTCCTAGCTTCCATGATTCCCGAGACAATAGTTTACCCACCAAAAGTTTCACCGGGGCGTATGTATTACCCGCGGATATAGGAAGGTTGAATTTGAGTTTTCTGGGTTGCACATGGTCAAGAGGCATACCCACAAAATTTCAGCTTCCCAGCTTCCGTGGTTCCCGAGATAATGATTTTACCCAGAAAACTTTTACGGGGCCGTACGTGTTACCCGCGGGTACAGGAGGCCTGAATTTAAATTTAATGCGCCACCCGTTGGCAAGGGACGCTATACTAAAATTTCAGCCCTCTTTTGTGGTTCTCGAGTTGAAAGTGCGAGACAAAAATGCGGTACACACAGACACACACACACACAAATACACCCCGTGACAATATGCGTTTTGTACTACTGTTGCACAGCACAAAACGCATAAAAATGATATTTCCTCAAAGTGTTGAACTAGGATTTCTCTCGCTATCGATCTGGAGTTCTGGTGTTGCAAACATGCAGCAATACGCCGGAAACAGTGCGAAAAAACACTAATCGGATCAAAATGATTGGTTATTCGACACTGAAGCCAAGCTGTCTCAGAACTTCTGATTAGAAGACAATTCAGACGCAAAAATAAAATGGATGATTCCCTAATTTAAAGAATCTGCAAATAAACGCGAGACAAAAAGTACAGAGAAATCACATGCTTCCTGCACGATCCTGCAAATAATATTTTTGCACTGAAGCATAGGAAAAAAGCGTGATGCAAAAATTTCTTAATAGCAATGCGTAGCAATGCAAACACTAAACATAGAAGCTACCTTTTACTCTAAGTCCAGAAATATCAAAATTATTCAAATGAAACGAGAAAGAAATGCAACTAATTCAGTCATTTATCAGCGGTGCCGGAAATACTGAGCTATCCGGAAAGTTGTCACTGAACTGTCAAAAAGTAAAAATCCAGTTCCGTATTTCGCTCTCAATGAGAGACGAAGAGATTTGGAAATATCCCAAGGATAGCAACTGCTAACAACAATTACCTGCTGGCAAGACTTCGAAAGTTGCTTACATACAAGCCGGTGACCTTGGTCGCGACATCAGTCGAAAATACACAAAATTAGTTTGAAACAAGATCAACTAATTCCGGAAACTAGTTACTTATTAGGCAAAAAGTTGAAACAGAAAGACGAAACTCTAAGCAGCATCTGTTCTAGGTATCAATCTGATTCAAGTGGCGGTAAAATAGAGAGAAAACATCATTTTGGCGATGTGGCCTCAGATTTCACCGTTTGCTCTCGAAGGTCAATATATTTCTAGACACAACGTGCTGCGTTTTTATGCACCGTCTTTTTTTACACAGATGTAAACAGAGTAACACATGTACGTTCATGAAAATTTTCCCCAAAGTAGCATCGAAGAAGTAAGTTTGCATAAGCGATCGTTGCTTCACACCAACGGCAGCAAGTAAATATAATTCCTCGCAGAATGATAAGCCACCAGGAGCAGGATGAAAGCAATAATGTGCAATTATTGTCACTTCGCTCGACACGTTATTTATCATGCTGAAAGTGGGAACTCTCACTCCCTTTTACTACTTAACGGGTTAGCTTAATTCCACTATCCCTCCTCAGGATAAGCCACCTAAAATTTCACTACGATGCAGAGTTTCCAATTTCCAGATGAATCCCATGTCGGATTAATTCCAAACCTGGGCCTCCAGCACCAAATTCTCTCTTATATGTTGAGGTCGCCATTACGTTATATTTGTCTTCCTTCTAAACAAAGGATCAGCTCGATTCAGAAATCCTCCATGCTCAAGCCTTTCCTCCACTCACTGTAACAGAACTTGACTAAAATCTTGGTGTTCTTTTAAGTGCGGAGGGCCCGCCACGAATTCGAAACAGTTAGACAGCTTAGCTGTGTCGTCAGTCATCAACTTCAGTAGAACTCAGTATGCCTCACTTGCCTTTTACTTTCATTTTGGTTGCAGAGACTATTCTGAGGGTTAGGTACAATTATGTCTAACGTAAGACAATCTCCATCGAGCTCGCTGTGTGCGGCAGCTCTGGTGAGGCGGATCCTCGACAAAGAATCTTGAGCTAATCGTCGAAAGCGCACTGTGCTTTTGTTTCGTATATATTTATAGCACATGTGGTTAATTTTGACTGCTGCCCTAAGTAACAGGAACATCAAGATCACCTGGACTATCAGTGTAGTTATCCTATATTAGTGATATTACCGGGATGCTTCCTTATATCAGGCGTATGTTAGATTCTTCGATCCTTGGTAACATACCTCCATTCAGTTACTCACTGCCTGCTCAATGTTTGTGTGCTACCTCTTCTGGAAGCTACTCGCCTTCTAAATAATAAGTACAAATAAATTTCTGCATGCAAGCGTATTACTCACATTTTACTAGACGGTTTAACAACTCAAATTCGAAAAAAGTGTATTTCCGACAATGTTTTGGTGACATCGAATGCTTCGGGTTAGTCGGTATTAGCCACTTGTCAAAGGATGCGTGCCGATTACCAAAATTAGCCGCTACTATAGTAAGGCAGCAAGGATTTCCCTCGAAGTTGGCTTTTGAAAAGTTTTCGTTTTAGCAAAAACAACGGTTAATAGGAGAAGGGAGAGTAAAGATGGAAGCAGTGGAAAATACTTTTCCTAAGTATTAATTAACACTAGATGCATGCATGCATGTTGAGGCAGCGAGTAGTAACTAATTGGAGACATGCATCTCCGCGTAAACTGGTCTGTGCGTAGCACAACTGCGACCGCTGTGTGGGTACATCCCAGATCTGCGCATCGATTGTTTGGGAGATCTTTGTAACCAGGTAATTTACTTTTTTGCAATCTAATTCACCGGAAATACTTGACAGATAAAATTCGACGCAAAAAATCAACATGGACAGAACGTGTTGCTCGCGTTGCTGACAACCGGAAGACATCGCGCATTGGTGTACGGTATCTACGACAAAGTAAACAACTATTACTCGAATGGCCTCTAAGCCGCACGGGTAATGATTGTTCACTTGTCAGTAAGTAATGCTATTTTAGTGGACTTGTCTTCAGCCAGCAGAATGAGGTTTCACAAGTTTTCCTCCGACTTTCCATTCCGCTTTCGACCGCACGTTACTGCCGCTCACAGTCCTCTTTGCCTCACATTCGACTAGCTTCGCTCGCTGAATAAGAACTGTTTTTGTATAGGAGTTTTTTGTGCAGTACAAGCGACTTTAGCTCGAAGTAAAGAGCGAGAGGATGTTGACTTGAGCCAGTCGTTTTCCTTATTGGTTGGGGTCACTGCGATGGATAGATGACCTTGTGTGGACATCGCTCGAAGAAATACAGCTGTTGAGCCTTAGCCGCCACTCCACTATGGTCTGCCTGTCATCCAGCGCGCTTTCATCATCTTCCTCCACAGCCTGCCGTTTTCGAGCACATCGCATGTGCATGCTTTGTCTTACCTCAGCTACCTCAATGGACAAACTCCGTCAAACACCATATGTGGACTTTCCAATGCTCCGCACTTTTGGATCAAAAAACTTTCTTTCTAAATATAAATTTCCTCCAGAAAAAGCGTATTAGTCCGGTACTTTGCTGCCCCGTTCTTTTCGTCTATTTTCCTTTTACACTGACTACTGCAAACTGTTTCAGAGCGTGTTACTACGAATTCTGATCCAATGCCGAAGCAAATTTTCGAACTAATTGATTACTTGGGCCCACTTGCTGTCTCAGTTGCTTTCATCATAGCTCTCTTCCTAATTTCGCTGATCATCAACTTCTTGTGGATTACCAAGGAAGACGATCGCACTGTTTTTGAAAAGGTTAATTTACAAAGACTACTGGAAAAATTTGTGTAGAAATGACTTAAAAATATCAGTTTATCAAAAATGTGGAGTATCGGTATTTGCAGTTTTTGAAAAAGATCAAAGGAAAGGAAATTTTAGAAATCATGTGCGCACTAAGAAATACCAATGCGCGGTGAAAAACAAATGCGCGATTGAACATTTGACCCTCAGAACAAGAATGTTCTTTTGAGTGAGGATCAAACTGAAACACGTCTTTGTCTGTTGACTGATTTTCTAGTTCAGTTTCCCGCACTGGATGTAAGCATGAGCTTCTGTTTCAGTTCGGTTCCAATTTTGATATTCGCCTTGGCGTGCACCACATGCGTCATCGCTCCGATAAGGTAAATATATTTGCTTTTGATTGTTTTTGCTTCACCAAAACAGCTTTTATGCAGCAGGCAGGGAAACCTTATGATGCGACCTGGGGAATGACAAAAAGTAAAAGAATTCGAAAATGAGCTCTAGTACTGTGCGCACTCTTCGGTCCGATCGCAAAACAGCGAATCAGCAGCCGATGGGTGAGTGGCTAACTTAGGTGGTCAGTGGATGGAGGAGGAGAGGAATATGCGGAAC